TTTACCAAAATACAAAAAGAATATACATATTTTATGTATTCATAATTATAATTGTATATATATATAATTATTACACCACGATTTCATTGACACAAAAACAGCCATGCTCTTTTAAGGTCTCCAGCTTACCTACTCTCCCCTCTCGAGCTGTGCGGTGTGATGTGCCGTGTAAATCTGCGGATTACCGTAGACAGAAAGAGATAGGGAGCAATCACAAACATGCGGCCGCCGCAGCTGATATGTGCCTCTTGTGGCGTCAGGCCTGCGTTTCTCCTTCCTGTCACACAGTCGTTCCGTGTCCCGTCCCGAGACACGATCTGCCCGATGCCTCCTGACAGGCAGTCAGTCTGCTACCGCTGCCCATCTGACTGCGCCCGATTCCGCTGTTCGTTTAAATATACAGCCGCTGCACTTACAGGTTATGAGAGGTAGCAGTGCAGACAGTTGTGCACGGGACACGCGGCTCAACTAGACAAATCAGGATAACGGGAAGGAAAGAAAGAAAGAGGGGTATAGTGGGAGCGCGGAATAGCCCCACAGGCACCATCAATGACCCCACAATATATTTCTAACTAATGTGACCCCGCATTGTGTATCGCAATTGGCATTGGAAAACTCCCACAGGCTACGGATTGTTCCCGGGAGTGGGGATCGCGGTCCTGCGTGCCGGCTCATACATACAGGATGTGGCAGCTCCGGGCATTGCGCAGCAGCGGCGTTCTGCGCTGCGCTGCCGGCGTGCATTCATGATAGTGCTACGGGCTAAAACTATCTGACGAACCGCGACGCGCAAACAAAAACAGAGGCAGAAAACAAGAGAATTAGTCTTACCTTGTTCCTGAGGACCTAATCGTTTCTGATCGTTTGTGTATGTACTCATATGCGTGTTATTTAGGCCAGATGTTTTGATTTTCATTCATTTATTTGTTTCCATAAACAATGTTTAGATTGGAGAGAGAGAGAGAAAAGAATAACATATGTGAAGGACTGTTTTTATATATTGGCATATCTAGTGTGAATCTTAGCCTATATATCCACAATTGCTGGCAAAGTATGATTATGATTGGACTGTGGATATACACTTGCATATTCCTGAAACAAGACACAACATCACAGAAGGGCTTTGTGTTTCTGTCTAGGATTTGTGGGTTAGGATTAGATTCTGTCGCATTGTTTTAAACCCTCCTATTGTGCTCAAGAACTAGGCCTACAAGATTCATGTAAAAACAGAAAATCCCTATTGTCAGAGATTATAAAATATAAAAATATGTGAGAAGTGTAGCCTAATAATTCCCATTTATTGTTATTTCTGTTGTGTTAGGGATTATATTTCACTTGTTTCACATAGGTCACATATTTTTGTCTTCAAAATTAACTGCATACACACACAAACACACAAACTCGCACTTCTTTTCAGTGCTCTAGTAATTGAGATCCAAACAAGAAAAGAAAAACAACCTTAATATTAAGCAAATATATAAATAAACAGTACTTTTTCCGAAGACATTCAGAAGACAGTTCAGTTCACCATTATAAATTAAAGGTCCCCTGAAATGCGTAGAAACACGCAGTTACTCTATGTGTTGACGTCATTTTAACTGAAACAGGAAGACAGGGCGGGACATATCAAGCAGCCCCGCCCCTTTTTAAAATAGCCAATAGCGTTCGTTTATATCGCAGCTTGGGCTAGAGCCGTTCAGAGCCGTTTGAGCTCCGGGAAGCCGCATTTGACAGGGTATGCCAGCCACAATCTTATGGGCTTACATTTCTGCCACAATTCTGCGCGCGAAAGATCATATTTTGAGCACACAAAAGTGCATTTTGCACGCGCGCGATCTGAGTTTTGTGGAGAAAATGTTCGTTTCGCAAAGAAAAAAGTCTTTCGAGCGCACGGAAATCAATTTTGCATTTAAAACACGTTTCTGGATGTGTGCAGACCTTCTCTTTTGCGCGTGCAACGTTTCACTAGCTTGCTCACCTGATGCCCCCCTCAGTGCTCGCTAAATGCCAACAGCTCGCGTGCTCAACACTGTGTTGAGCACGCGAGCTGTTGGCATTTAGCGAGCACCGAGGGGGGCATCAGGTGAGCAAGCTAGTGAAACGTTGCACGCACAGAAGAGAAGGTCTGCACACATCCAAAAACTTATTTTAAATGCAATCAAAATATGATCTTTCGCGCGCAAAATTTTGGCAGAAATGTAATTCCATACAATCTCATCCATATTGCTATAAAATATAGCATTCTGTGTAGAATTCAAATAGCTCTAATGCATTTTGTGGTCTGCGCCGACTCGCGCATGTGATCCGCTCCGTGCTATCGTGTCTCTGGACCGGAGCAGAGTGTGTGCGGTGCGGTTAGAAGCTGAAGTACGATGTGATGTCAAAAAAAAATCGTTGAGCCGTTTTGGCGGAAGTGACGAACTGCAAGCTTTGAATGCTTATATCTTCTAAATGCGAATTGTGTCACTGTTTTGGAGCACACTGCCTTATAGATAACCTTAAGTCTAACATATTGATACTAACACCCAAAAAACTTTAATTTTGATTTCATGGGGACTTTAAATTTCAGTCTTAAAAATTCACAAGTTCTTGTGTATTTCACATTTTTGTGTTTGACAAGCTACAATAAATTAACTTTCTTTCTTTCTTTCTTTCTTTCTTTCTTTCTTTCTTTTTTCTGACTCTTTATGTTTTTCAAAGTGTTGAGTTTTGGCAAATTGCATGGAAACCAATGGAGGTTATGAGGGGGTCACAAAAAAAACATATTATTTGTGCAGCCTATCCAAAAAAAAAAACATCTGTTGAAAATGTGCATGCACATTCATGACCCTAAATGAAAAATGCTCGCAAAATTTTCAAGATGAAATAAAGAGTTTTTATACAACACCTTGACTAAATAAAGTTTTACCAGTATTTTGAGCAGGTTAAAACATTTGTCAAATTGACTCTAGGGGGTAAAGGAGCACCGTCAGAAGCCTTTTCTTCATGCTGTATTCCTCAAAGAAAAAAATAAAAGGTCTCGGCCAAGATCTGTGACAGACAGTGATTTGACTGATGGGTGCATGAGAAGCATACAACACTTTCAAAGCTGCACTCGCTTTCCATGATGTCACCCACACCTGGACCTTATAGAGTTAATGAGGCCGGTTTGATTGATAGCTGACATTTCATTATGGAGGAGTCATACAGTGATTGTGTAAATCCAAGCAGACACGGCGCACGGAGGACGAGCAGGAGGATGCTGGGAAACAGACAGCCAAGTGAAGCAGAGGGAAACTTGCTGCAGGACTCGGGAAACTCTAAACCCTCGCTGTCATTTTGATTTAAATTTCCAGGATTTAGATGAAAAACAATGAGAAAATACATATATGCTACTATAAACTGCACTGCAACTCTTTCATCTGCTGTACAGTTGTGCCTGAGCTGATTGATGGCAAGATCACAGGCATATTTTTTTCTCAATTCTCCATCAAGAAGATACTTATGATTGCATGAAAACAAACATGGGAAAATTGTGTATACAATACATCCATGCAGGATCTAAAAACCAGTCTGGATTCTGTGTCGGTGGGTTCTTCCTGTGAAGTCAGCATCTCTTTGATCTGCATTATGGGTCTTGTTTCAGTGAACACTCATGCAAGTTACAAATCCTAACTGTGGTTGGAACAATAAAAGAACAAAGACTCACTCAATAATTTGCTGATTGAGTGGGTCCATTGTGAATTAAAATGTATGTATTCTCAGTAGCCTAAATCTCAGTAAACTGGAAAATAAAAAATACAGTGGAATGTATCCATGAGCTATCTACAAATGCAAAGATGTTTGCTACTTTAATTTAACAATGCATAAGTAATAATAATAATAATAATAATAATAATGTATGTATATATAGCCTACTTACATGTTATATGTGACCCTGGAGCACAAAACCAGTCTTAAGTCGCTGGGGTATATTTGTAGCAAATATACATTGTATGGGTCGAAATGATTGATTTTTCTTTTATGCCAAAAAGCATTATGATATTATGTAAAGATCATGTTCCATGAAGATATTTTGTAAATTTCCTACTGTAAATATATTAAAAGTTAATTTTTGATTAGTAATATGCATTGCTAAGGACTTCATTTGGACAACTTTAAAGGTGATTTTCTCAGTATTTTGATTTTTTTTGCACCCTCAGATTCCAGATTTTCAAATAGCTGTATCTCGGCCAAATATTGTCATATCCTAACAAAACATACATCAATGGAAAGCTTATTTACTCAGCTTTCAGATGATGTTCAAATCTAAATTTCGAAAAATTGACCCTTATGACTGGTTTTGTGGTCCAGGGTCACATATATGCTTGTATGCTTCACTGGGAAGATAATTCCAAAATGCATGAATTGGCAAATTTGACAAACTGGCAAACAGTATTGCTGAGTAGGACTGTAGTTTATGGCCTGTGGTCCGAGCAATGAAAAGAAAAAGAAAAGAGAGAGAGAGAGAGAGAGGATGTATGTCATTTACCTTGGGGAAGTAGCCTAATTCAGGACATTAAAAGTCCTGGAAATAGAATATCGTTTTCTTTATGGCTGACCACAAATTAAGAAGGAGAGGCATCTTTTAAACTTAGCCCTTAGTGCTGGAAATTATGATATCAATAATATAATTTTGTGTTAATTCTAAAGACATTAAAAAATAAAAACAATTTTGTCTTAACTGTGATTTCATAATACTGCAGCTGGCTTTTTAAAATAACATTTACATTCACCAAGCTGAGTGGCTACTACAAATAGGCTAAACCAGACTATAATAAACTAACGTATATACTATTTTAATTACTTTTATTTCATCGTATTGTAAAGTCGTATTGTGTCAATATAATTGCAAGTTTTTCTGCAGGAGAACTTATACAAATTTTGCAAGCAAAAGTAATAAGATTTATCATATTTATTCTGCAGGGTATATCACCACATGAGGGTCTCTTCTGTCCATCATGACGTAAGCGAGGCGCGACTGGAGGATCTCCAGCAATCAGCGAGCGCTTTATGTGTCAGGTTTCCGGTGTGATCAAGATGGCGTTAAGGGAGCTGAGCTCGTTGGAGAGATTTCTAGGATTAAAAAAGCCAAATAAATACAGTTCGCAAGGAGGGAAAAAGGTGAATAAAACACTGAATGTGATATACATGGAGTTACGAGGCTGTTATACATTTTCAAGATGCGTTTGTGCGTGGTATTATGTGAGATATTAGAGATCGTATGAATCAATGACTGGTGTAAATCAATGGGGTTTTATTTCAAATTTTGATTACTTAAGATTTCAGATTTTTATGTTAAGCAGGATTTTCACATGAGTGTTTCATAAGTTCATAAATTGTGATGAATTTTTATGTAAACAAGCGATCATGTGTGTTAGTTGTAGCCTCACTGACAGATCTGTGTTAGTGTGAGCTGTGGCTGTGATCTGAAGCACCGAAGACCGCACCATTTGGAAAAAAATAACTTAAGCTGTTTCAGATAACATGTTAGAGAGCATTCGGAACATACAATATATTGGGTACAATATGCAGATGCACATAAAAAACAAAAGACCACATGGCCATTTTAGTTAACTTGTATTGTTGGACCTCGTGTACCTCGCCTCCCAAGAAGTAAATATTACTTTAGATAAATTTAACAAAAGTTAGGAGTGCTTTCACACCCACAAGGTGTATTCAAGGCTCATATAAATGTGTATTGCCATGTCATGTGTTTCCAAAGAAAAGGGTGAGAAGTAAGCTAGAAATATAGCTATATTCTCGTAATCAGAATGAATGTGATTTGTCCCCAAGGAAATTTGATTTGAACTTCATGTTCTCTGAACACTAATATTTACTTTCGCCCCATTAATAATACTAATAATAAACATATTGTAATACTTTACATACAGTTGAGTTTTATAAATAATTAAGACTATATGTATATGTGTGTGTGTGTGTGTGTGTGTGTATATATATATATATATATTAGTAAACATTAAAAAAAAAGTAAAACTCTGCAGCCATGATCGCGACACTAATATAATAACATATAAAATATGTTATGTATTATGTATAATATTCATGTTAATAATATCAATGTTAATATTAGTCTTGTATGTATAATGTATAATATTAGATTGGTCAACACTGTACATCAATATGAAGTTAATGAAATTAATTTAGCAAATTCTGAAATGTTTAAGTGATAAATCTCTTCATCAGCCTGAAAACCTGTTCAAACTTTAACAAAGTTTACCCTACTTCATTAACATGAATTTATGTATTTTATGAAACACATACATTTACCTTACCACCTAATTAAAAAAAAAAGTTTTAAATCAGTTTTTTCTTTTTTTTTTTTTTGTCCACACCTCCAGCATTGCTTTGACTTAAAGCAGTAATTTAATGAATAGATCTACCCCTGCTGATTGCTTTCAGGTAAATTTTTTTCCTTTTTTATGTATCCATTTGTAGGTCCCTGTTCTCCAAAACAACAATGGACCAGCATTGATTGGTCTGGTCACTATAGCGTCCCATCTGGTCCGTGAGGCTAAGAGACCTGAGCTGCTAGGAGACAGCGCTGAACGGAGAGCTGTGGTCCAGCAATGGCTCGAATACCGAGTAACACGACTAGATAACTGTTCTAAAGAAGAAGTCAAAGTTATTTTGAAGGTATGATGTTATAATGATTTGAGGTTAAACAGTTCTCATTTAAAAAAACAAAACAACATTTGTACACATTGTACTGCACTGTTTTATGTTCAACAATGCTTCAGACATCATTAAGATTAAATGTGAAAGAATTGCGAGATATTCATATTAAGTCACCTTTAAAATTAAAATGGACAATTATTATTTTTTATGCAATATTGCTGTATTTATTATTAATAGTATACCCATGCACATATTTTTTAAACGTATTGTGCCCTTGTATTCTTTAATCAAAATAACTGTCCCTCCCTCGTGATGATACACTGATGATATATGCACTTCTCGATAGACGAAATCAAGTCTCAACCTACTTTTTTGTTCAAGAAGCAAATGTTTATTTGACAGAACGTTTTCACAAACAAACCATGATTCACTAAAAACGTTTGTACTAAAATGTATTCTAAATTTACAAAAAATATATAGTAACCGCTGAAAGGACACGTATGCAAAAAGCATATACTCTGGATAGATATCGCATATTGCATCTTGACATGGCTATAGATATATCAAATGTGTTTTATCTTAGGGTAATAGTTGTGTATTATATATATATAATTACGATAAAATATATGTTTCATCCACAGCTAATGCAAGCTCTGTAAACTGGGTCTGTATTAGGGCTGCACGATAAATCGCATGCGATATTTAACGCACA